CAGCTCCCCACCACCTCCCTACCACCTCCCTCCAGGGGCAGCTTCTTGAAACACACCCTGAAGTACCGGCCCTCAGCCTCTTCAAAATCATCACTGTCACTATCAGTAAAGTCCCCACTTGGTTTCCACAGCAGCTTCCTGCTCAGTCGCTGTCGCCCTGTGTCATAGGCTGACCGGGAGCCTGGGGTCTAGGGGCCATGGAGCCATAGTTCTCTGACAATCTGGCCAGGGATCAACCCTGTACCCCCAGACCAGGTACATGCAGGTGAATCCAGTAAAAGCAGACCTAGAGACCCAAGAGGATGGCCAGAGCCATGCCACAGCACCTGCTGGGCCAACTTGCAGAGTGGGAGGAAGTGAACTCCCACCCTCAAGGGCAGTGGCCGTGTCGCCAAGAAATGTGGGGAGCAGGAAGTGTGCAGAGAACCTCAGAGGCACACATGTCCAGTGCCATCCAGAGAGAGAGACAGAACCGGGGCATAGGTGGCCATTTCCCAAGGCACAGAGGAGAGGTGTGAGCTAGGCTTCCCCGCTGCAAGGCCAGGGGCAGTCCACCCCCACAGCACACACAGGGCAGAGGAGGAGCCTGGGGCAGCTGGCTTCAGGGCGTGAGGCTGGAGGATGCCAGGCCCAAGGGAAGGGTCTTGTCTCCAGCCGCCCTGCCTACCTCCTCAGCGACCAGGAGCCCGCACTGGATGAGCCGGTCCAGCACCTCCTGACAGTAGCAGTAGGAAGACTGGCAGGGCTGGGGAGAAAAAGGCACCCATATGGCCTCAGGCAAGCCAGGCACATGATCAGGGGCCTAGCCAAAGGCCGGGCAAGGCCAGACCTACCACCCAGGAGGTTTCAGAGGTAGGGCTTGGGCAGGGTTGGGCCATTCCTGCCACCAAGAGGGGAAGGCCTAGGAACAAGTGGGCCGTAGGGGAGGCCTGACCTTTAGCAGCAGCAGGTCTTGCGGCAGCAGGTGCATCAGCAGCAGGATCTGGCGGTACAGCTCATTCTGGCTCAGCAGTAATATGCCCTGCAGCTCCCAGGGCCCCTGGGGCGGCACTCTGCCTGCCAGCAGCCCCCGTACTGCACAGGCTGGGGGAGGTGGGTCCATTATGAGGATGAAGCTATTCCTTTCACCACTGCACACACATCCCACCTACACCGTGCACCTCAAGACTCACCACCCACAGCCTCGCTCAGGAAGACGGGCAGCAGCTCAGCACTCAGCCGTGCCAGCTGCGTGAGGCCTGGGCCAGGCCGCGGCACCACCAGCAAGTCGCCCTGGCGGATGCGCAGCAGGGCCACGTGCGCCCGCAGCAGGCTCAGAGAGTGCTTCAGCAGGCTCCGTAGCTGCCCAGAGAAGCCTACATCAAAGCCACGCAACAGTATCTCCTCCGTCAGCCAGGAGAACTCCCCCAGGAGCTGTGACAGGAACACGCCCTGGGTGGGCAGAGCAGGCCTGAGCAGGAGAGCCACACCCCACACCCCGCCCAGGTCCCCACCACATGGCACCCGCTACCTTCTGGTGCTTGAAGAGCAGCAGTGTCGCCATGATGGCCGTGCTCATCACCGCAGCACTCCCTACACTGGCTGGAGTGGGGCGGGGTGGGGGGTGGAGATGCTGGTCAGGGGTTGAGGCCCAGCAGCCTGGTCCCTCCATTATCTGGCAAGTCTTCCTAGCCACACATCCCAGCTCCACCCCAGGGATGAGGAATGTACGCCCGGAGCAGTGGCTTTTATCACACAGGCTGACAGCCAGGCCAGGAGCTGGGGGCCTTTCCCTGGATCTCGTCCTGGGGCCCACACACCAACCCATAGCCTCTACTACAGAGGGCCACTGGAGACGATACTGATGGCCCTCTCTACAAGGGCCCTCTGCACAGGCGCTCTGCTAAGCCCTTACACGTATCATTCCATTCAGTTAACACCATCCCCATCCAGGCTAAGGAGACTCCCCTCAGAAGGCAGGGCTGGGTGTGGCCTTGGGGGAGCAGCTGCAGCCTCCTGGCCTCAGGCCACCATCTTTGTGCATGCAGTTAGCTGCTCCCTCATGCCAGCCCTGGCTGCCCTGCTCCTCCTGTAGGAGGAGAGTTCCATTCTTCACATGTCCCCGAGGTACCATAGAGGGTCTCATGTGCAGACACTCACTTGGAATGGAGAACCCTGGTGACTGGCTGACCCAGAGAGGGGACGATTCAGGGACCCGCCCCCAAAGGCCCAGATCTGGTTCACCCTCACCACTCAGGACATGACAGCTCAGTCTCCTGACCAGGAGCTGGTCCTCTTCCTTGAGGGCCATGAGAGGCCCAGTTATGGGAGTCCACTCCTGCTCCTTCTCAGTGTCTGGGACGGCAGTACTGAGATAGAGACACAGATTACAGAATGAAGGGACCAAACACAAAAACAGCTGTGGGAAAGCCTAGAGCTTTCTAAAAGGTGAGGGTGTTCCCCCCTCCCAGCCCCAGGACAGAGGATGGCTTCTATAAACCCCAGTCCCTTCCACGCCTCTGTGCCATATTCTCACACTCAGACTGCTGGGAAGGCGAGTGCCTGGAACTATCCAAGATGACCCCAGAATATGTGGTGAGGGAGGTCTGCTAGTGTGTGTATACTAGGGGGGATACAGACGCTGGTGCTGAAGGGCTGCCTGCCTTGCCCATGAGACCGCACGATCCCATGCCCCTACCATTGGCCCAGCACGATGGGCTGCAGTAGCTGTTCCAGGGTCTGCCGGCCGCCCCAGCAGCTTCTGGCACTGACGATGTATTCCTGCCCAGGACAAGGTTCTTAGGTGGCCTGCGCTGGACTATCAGGAAACTTGCACACAGCCCACTGGAAGTAGGCAAAGCTATCCCTGCAGTGGCTTCGAGGGCCAGACTGCCAAGATGCCTAGGACAGACCCCTTAGGTACTCCCAGCCTTCCCCAGCTGACTCCGTACCTGCAGGGAGAAGGGCTGAGCTAGGTGCACCCCGGAGCAGATCCGGCGGCTGCAGCCCCAGTGGCTCCACAGGCTACGTAGCACAGTCAGAGCTCCTGTCCACAGCCCCAGGGGGGCCGAGGCCTGCAAGGAGGGAGAGGATGACTATAGTCGCCAGGGGCACTGCTCTGGAGTGGACATCAGGGCTGCCCACCCATCCTGGTCTCCAGAGGTATACTCTGGTCCCAGCATGCTCAGTTTTATCTCAGGCCCAAACTGGTGCATGACCTTGTCCCAAGCTCCTCATTTGTTATCCATGACACAGGAAAAATCCCTCCCTATCAAGGTCTTCAGAGGATGAAATGAGATGATGGTAAAGGCCTTGGCAGGTGCTGCCAGATGATTCCTTTGTAGCCCCAGCAGCCCTAAGAGGGACTCAGCCACAGGACACAATATTTTGCCTCCTATCTGGAGCTGGTGTCCACCCAGGGGCCCAAGGGCTGCAGGGTCTCACGTTCTCACATGGTATATGTCACACAGTGCATCCGGAACCAGGTCATAGGTGACGGCCACTGGTACCAGCAGAGCATCTGGGACGATGCCCACCTGGACTGCCTGCACCACAAACCCCAGCCAAGCCTGGCCCAGGGCTGACAGCCGTGGCCCCGGGGACTCAGGAGGTTCCTCCAGGAAGATGAGCAGGGGCTGTCCACTAACCAGCAGCTGCTCTATGACCTGGAATAAGTGGGGACAGGGGGTGTTAAGGCCAGAGCAGAAACAGACCCCTGGTCCTCTTAGCCTGGCCCATATGTAACCACTGGGGGCACTCACCGCCTGGACCACAGCCCTTGCAAGGAGCCCCTCAGAGCTGTCCAGGGAGAGGTTGGCCTCTGGGGGCAGGAAAAGCCCCCCAAGCTTCCTCAGGAGAACTCTGTGGGACATAGGGCAGAACTTGATAAGGAAAGGGGCTCTGGAGATGAGAATGAATAACGGGCTAGTGAGAGTCTCAGCTCCCCCACGGCCAGCCTGTGTCCTACTTGAATACCCTGAGGTGAAGCCATGGCCCTAGGCCCTGTGGCTGACCCCTCCATCTAAGCCCCACAGGCCAGACTGCTGTATGGTTGGGATGAGAGGGGCCATGAAGAGGGCTTTAGCAGGGAGCTGCTGCCAACACACCCCAATACACACCCCACCCCAGCCTGCGGCTTCTCCCACGTATGTCTAGAGGCAAAAGCTTTTTACCTGAGGGCAGGGGAGCAGGCGCGGGAGTCCCAGGCCACACGGAGCACACCCAGGCCCTGGGAGAGCAGCATAAAGGGTAGCAGGATCCCATCCAGGAGGGTTTTGTGAGTAGAGAGGAGGACAAGCGGCGAGCCCTGCTCCGGGGAGAGCCAGAGGGAAGTGCCAACCTGCCCCACCCTGAGGACACAGGCAGCCAAAGACCCAGGGCAGCCCGAGGGAGGGAGGGTCCAGCTGAGAGTTCTTCCTCTGAGCACATTTCCCAAAGGCAAAGGAGCGTTTAGACAACTTTTAAGGTAACTGCACTGATGCACTGACGTAATGGTTGTTAAGACCATGATGGAAAGACATTAGAGGAAGCCCCATGGGAGCAGGGCCGTGAGACATAAAGGGAAGGTCGGCAAAAAGCAGGGGATTTTTCCCACCAGCTGATGGGGACTGGACTGCTGTATGGCTGGGAGCAGAGAGGTCAGGAAGCAGGACCAGATGGGGGCTGCTCCTCACTTACGGGCTTGGCCCAGCCTCTGCTCTTCTGCTCCCACCATCCCCATCCCAATGGAGGGCGGGCCTTACTGCCTGGGCGGCCTTCTGGACCATCTTCATCTGACCCTTGTGGAGCTGCACATTCAGGAAGAGGCAGTTCAGGAACCGCAGCAGCGCCCAGCTGAACAGCCTGGGGAGGGACACCAGGCCCGAGGTGCGGCAAGGAGTGACGCTCAGCCCGGGGCACTTGGAGGGCCGCCCAGTGCTCCTCTAAGGCAGGCCCCACCACTGTCCTCATTTTACAGAAGAGGAAAGTGAGACTCAGGGAAGCTACAGAACTGCTTCATGGTAGCAAACACTAAGAAGTAGTGGTGCTGGGACTGGAAGTTCTGACACCACAGTTCATGCCCACCAGACGCTGCTACTCTCCCACGACCTCATGGTGCAGCTGCCTCACATCAGAATCAGAGCATCTGCCTCCATTTACCCTAAAGGAGACTAGAGAACCAAGCCTCTCTCCAGGCAGAACCCAGCCTATTCTTCGCAAACTGCCAGGAAAGGTCAAATAAAAACGAAGGATTAGTGATAGAAGAAGGAAAGGGGACAACTGCAGGGGCAAAATCCCTGGTGGGCAGGCAGGTGGGGTTGTCCATCCAGCCCAACAGGAAGACCGGCTCTATTTATTTTTTAAGACAGGGTCTTGCTCTGTTGCTCAGGCTGGAGTGCAATAGCATGAACTTGGCTCACTATAACCTCTGCCTCCTGGGCTCAAGCGATCCTCCCACCTCAGCCTCTCAAGTAGATGGGACCATAGGCACGCACCGCTGTACCCAACTAATTTTTTGGAGAGACAAGTTTGCCCAGGCTTGTCTATGTTGCCCAGGCTGGTCTTGAGCTCTTGGATGATCCACCCTGCTTGGCCTCCCAAAGTGCTGGGATTATAGGCATGAGCCACTGCACCGGTGTAGGACCAGCTTTAATTTAGGACAGATATATAGCTGCAGAAGCAGGGAAATGTGGCGGATAAGCAGCAAGTCCCCATGTGATGGCTTTTATCTTTCTGTGAAGCATGAGATGCGGCATCAGTTGACACTGGATGAGTCTAAGAAGGAGCAGGCTAGATGGGAGCTCTGGAGGGTGCCATGTGTCCCTGTGACATTTGCACTTAGCAAGGAAACCAGTCCACTGGTGTGTGTTTCTCTAGCAATGCTGGGCTGCTGAGGTGCAAAGAGAAGGCAGACAGTCGGGGGTCATGCCTATGATTCCCTCACAAGAGCATTACTCGCACCCTGAGCCTGCAATCTCAGCTAGGCTCAGAGGGAAGGCAACACAGACAGGGAGGCTGATGGCTGATGTCAAGGGACATCAAGGCACTAGAAATCTTAACAAAGTCAAGGAATTGTCACAGTGGAGGGCTGGCCAAGGTCACCAACAACCTCTACTTTCTGTCCTTGCTCAGTTGGCCACTCAGCATATTCAAGACAGCTGAGCTTGACACATGCTGCCCCAAGCCCTCCTGCACTCAGGGACTCATTCATTTCCTTGGCTTTAAACACCATCTGTATGCTAAAGCTTCAGTGTCTCTGGCCCCAACCTCTCTTCTGAGCTCCAAGCTCCTACATGCAACTGCCTCCTCAGTGTCTCCACAAGCATGTCAAATACCAAAACTCTCTGTCCAGATTAGCTTTCTGGGCCAACTCACTTCTCCCAAAGCCTGTTCTCTGTACATACCACCAGAAAGTAGGCTAGAAATGGGGCTGTCCTGTAACTTCTCCAATTTCCCTCACTACCCTTGCTCCCACCGTCCAGTCCATCAGTGAGTCCTGTTAATGTCACCTCGATCTCTCAATCCACTTTTCAACCTCTACTGTCCACCATCATCTCACACCTGGACTAACAAAACAGCCTTCCAGATGCCCTCCTAGTCTCCACTCTTGACCCTAATCCACGATGTCGTCACTTCCCACTTAAAACCTTGCAGCTGCTTTTCACTGCACTTGGAGATCCGGTCCAAACTTGCACAGCTTTACATGATTTGATCCCTTCTGTCTCTCGATTTCACCTCCCACAGCTCTCGAACCCTCACTTGCTGGCTTCCAACCACGTCAGCTTCTTGAGCAAACCTAGTCCCTCTCCTGCCCAAGATCAAAACTCAGGCTATTCCCTCTAGCAAGACTGTTCCCCTCATTCTTGTACCCCCAAGGCTGGCTCCTTTTTCTCCTCTTGGCTCTGGCTTAAACAGTCTCTTTGTCCTCTTACTGGTATTCTGTCTCAGCCCTGTTCCTTCCTTCTTGCAGCCACGCGTATCTCTGTTTGCCCCTCCATTTCCCTGGAACAATGCACTGCATGTAACAGAAGCTCAGACCTGTGCTGGGGAATGTGGGGATGGGAGGCGGTGGTGAAGGCAGGCTGCAGCCCACTCTGGTAAACACTACCCAGCTCCCTAGGAGGAGAGTTCAGCACTTCCCCACGCCCAGCCAACACCCACTCTCCAGAAGGACAGTCCCCAGCCCAAGGATGAGCGCCCCTCAGCACAGTTACCTGACCAGGAAGGGACGAGGTGAGGCCTGGATGTGACCCAGGATGCGCTGTACCTCTTTCTTCACAAGGTCAGGAGACTGGCCTTCGCCAGCGCCTCCTGGGACCCTCCCTGAGAGGAGGTTCTGCACCCTGTCGGGGGGTTGGGAGGAGTGATATGAGGCTGCAGCAGGGAACGGCCTCCAATCTTCACCCTTCTCCTTAAGGAAGGGTCCCAGGCGGCCGGGCGCGGTGGCTCAAGCCTGTAATCCCAGCACTTTGGGAGGCCGAGACGGGCGGATCACGAGGTCAGGAGATCGAGACCATCCTGG